ATAAAAACACTGAGACCTTCTTCAGGCAGACAACCCATTTTTACATTCTTATGTATGTGGGGAAAGGTAATCCATCCCCATTACAATCCCATACCAGCAGCCTTCCTTTATCATGAAAATGGCTACAATTAGCCAAAAGGGGCACATTTACGAAGATTGTCCTGTGATGTTCCATCGAGAAAAGAGCAAAAATCAGCTTCACACCTGGAGACTTCCTGTATCGGGCACAGTCCAGAGAAAGAAGACCGCTACAGCATTAAGATTCATCTGTAAAAACATGTAATGCTTCCGCATTCCACACATTACGTCTCACCAGTTTAGTCAATATGGATTAAATATGAGAGTGTAGCAATGCACAAACTCTATCTGAGGAGGAAAATAGGATAAAAAATGTTCGTGAAAATAGAGCAATTTGAAGCCTCTGACAACAGCAACTTCAGCACCAAGGAAATGATTTCACTCTCATTGGCCTCAAATTTACTTTTCATGTGGCATCTGCAGGGTTCGAAAGTGAGACCAGGTGAGTGCAGTGTGCATGCACTTCCCAGGTGTCCACTTGTATTCTGTTTTCTTTACTTCTGTTTGCAGAAAGTAGACGCATACTCAGCCTTAGTGCCAGTGTAGGGAGTGCTTTCCTTGACATGGATACCAGAAAAAAAAGGAAAAGCATGGGGCCGATTAATGTAAAAATTAGCCACAATGTGTGTGTGTTTGTATATGTGTGTGTGTGTGTGTGTGTGTATGTGTTATTTGAATACTAGAGTTGAAGTGGCCTTCTATCCACGTGCACATGCACCTGCAGGTATTCTCAGGTGCAATAATCAACTGCAGGACCCTAAAAGAAATGAGTCTCCCCCAAATCCCTGAAGAGTTTTTGGGTTCACCGTATGTCAAACGATTCAGTGCCTCTGGAGTTCCAGGAAAGGGCTCCCCAGTGATGCATGAGATCTTTTCTTCGGTTTTCCCTGTACAGTTCTCTGGGTTTCTGAAGGCCAATTCAGTATTTCAAAAGATGGTGTGAGAAACGTATTGTGTCACTAAAGGACAATTCTGAGCCAGGGCACAGCCACTTTATATTCTACTCGAGACACTGGTAGGAATATACTCTGTAAGCTCAGACAGAAACCCTCCTCCTGGGTAGGGGCTGGGCTGCAGGGGGCGCTCAGGATAAACCCAGCACAGGCTCCTGCCCCAGAGCAGGTTCACAGGATGCTGGGGAGGGGTTCCTCTCAGGGCCCTGGACTTCATTTAAAAATATCTAATACAAGTATTCACAAGGACTTCTGATGTTTGTATAAATATTCCATTCAATTGTGAGCATTTATCAAACTGGGTGTCGTAATGAGAACCACTTTCAAAATGGGATTTCAAACTCTGCTAGTTATCTTAATAGTAAGCAGCTGGAGGTCAGGAAGAGATCCTTTCTTTTAAATCAGTGCAATTTTTGAACAGACACACTCATTCCCAAAATAACGCATTCGCATATTAAGGTCTAGAACTGGTTCAAGTTTCCCCTGATTCATTCAAATGTGGGTTGAAAGTGAGGTGCATGTCCTGGGGGAGCTTGTTCTCCAGTGGGGGAACCTCTGTCAACACAGAGTTCAGGGATGTGTAGGGGACGCATGGCCTCTAACAGGATTACGGCTTGAACTGTCAGCTTCTACAATTGTGCCGTCCATGTGTCATGTATTTGCTCTTTCTCATACTGGCTCAGAAATTGGGCTATTAAATAGCATCCTTCATGAATATGCAAATCACTGAGGTTAATACAGACAATTCTGTGCCCTGAGAGCATCACCCCACAACCACACCCCTCCTCGTGACCACACCCCACCAACAGCACAGTTCCTCACCATGGACAGGACCCACAGGATCCTCTTCTTGGTGGCAGCAGCAAAAGTTAAGGGACTCCCCAGTCCGAGGACTGAGAGAGATATCAGGCCAGTCAAGTGAGACTTCACACAATCCTCTCTCTCCACAGATGCCCACTCCCAGGTGCAGCTGGTGCAGTTTGGGCCTGAGGCGAAGCAGCCTGTGGCCTCAGTGAAGGTCTTCTGCAAGGCTTCTGGCTACGGCTTTACCACCTATGGTATGAATTGGGTGAGACCGGTCCCTGGAGAAGGGCTTGAGTGGATGGGATGGATGAACACCAACACTGGGAACCCAATGTGTGCCCAGGGCTAAACAGAATGGTTTCTCTTCTCCATGGACACCTCTGTCAGCACAGTGCATCTGCAGATCAGCAGCCTGAAGGCTGAGGACACGGCCGTGCATTACTGTACGAGAGACATAGTGTGGAAACCCATATCCTGAGAGAGTCAGAAGCCCTGAGGGAAGAGGTAGCTGTGCTGAGCTGAGGCAGTGGTGCAGCAGTTTCTTCATCTTCCATATGATCTCATTTTGCATCAACTTCCACTGTTATATTAGCCATGAATGTGGGATAGACGGGTGTGCCTAAGAGATCCCTACCTTGCCCATTTTGATGGGTTTTCCAGAAGACGTGAGAAGCCACTTTGTTTGCAAAGCATCCCAGGCCATGCCCTGCTCCATACACGAGTGCCCATTTCGTCTTTGGTTAACTGTAAAATGCTCATCAGTGCACCTGGGCTAATTTCACATCAGGTAGAGGAATGTGTTCTAAAGGAAAGCTAAAGTTGTAATAGCAATTCCTGCTCAATAACCTTCAGGTTCTTTTTTGTGTGTGTGTGTGACCCATCAACTAATTGCGTTAGATCAAAGCTCTCAATGGGAGTTTCTAAGAAGTATAAGGGATGTACGGAAGTTCCCTAATTAAAATAATACAATTGTGAACACAACCTCAGTATTCAACCATGTCTCCACCCTTCACACCCTTCACCACAAAGAAATTTTCATCTCTTCTGGAAGTTGGGTTCATTTTGAAATTAGTGATTGTTTTTCATTTTAATATCTCAAGATTATCGTATGTGACTATTTTATCAGAAAGTGGGTTATGGGAACTTGAACTAAACAACTGATAACAAATTCACAACTAATTAAGCAAGATGACAGAAGGTGATTGGCTCCAGGCTTTGATAATACAGCAGTTTATGTATCCAGACTTTAAACTTACCCATCTTCCTGTTACCTTCATAACACAGTCAACTCCCATTATGAAAGAAATGGTGAGGGCATTTTTAAGGGTCATTCACAGTTACAAAAATAGACTGGGTAAGGTGAGGAGTTGATTGTTTAAATTCCCATTTGAAGAAGTAGAATCAACTACTTTTCTGAGTGGCTCACAATGACTCCAGCTCACTCACAGAGCTCAGACAGAAACCTCCCTTCAGGGTGGGAGCTGGGCTGCAGAGGGCACTCTGTACCCATAAAGGTGAAAATGAGCTGTCAGATGGAACTTCCCTGTCACCTCAACATGGAATTTATTGTTTCATTTCATTAGCACTCTTTACATAAAGGTTCATGTTTTTTGGTCTGTTCATTACTGATATTTTTCAAAGGAATCTCACTTGAATCTTTACTCTTTTGCATTTTGTCTCCAGAACAAGGTTGGGAAGTGTTACCTCCAGCATCACAACATGATCTAGTGACCTGACACATTTGTGGCAAAGAATACCTACCAATTCAGAAGTTCTTTGGTTTTCTTTCCATGAAATAGAATTATTTCTTCTGTTCTGTGTATGAGCGTATTCTAGCAATCCTGTACACACCCACATAGATGTCTATAAGCCTATGAATTATTCTCTGTAAATAAAAATTTATCTCAATTTCCCTCAATGTTCATAATTCTCATGATGGTGAGGAATGTCTTTCTGGATCTGTTTAAACAAAATGTCCAGAGACCACCTGGTAGGTCAGGAGCTCACCTGGCTCTAAATGTTGGGTCTGTCTCTTTCCCTCTGTTGTTCCACAGGTCAGCTCACTTGTTCAGTCCTAACAAGAGAGCCCAGGTTTGTCCTGATGTTGAAACACACCCAACTTCTGATGACTCTCCTGTTACCCACATCCATGGAGATAGATTATTTATTATATAATTCACCAAACTAATGTCAAATGCCCAAGTTGCAATACCGCAGACTCTAAAGTATGTTCATGCAATTCAATGAAGGAGAAAGTCTTTCAGACACAGGTGCACATGACACTATAAATATGTGGGTGAGGACTCTGGGCTTGAGTGTCATTGTCCAGCGATGTTTCAGAAGTGTGACCTGTCAGGAAAGAACCAGAGTTCCTTGTGCTGTCAGAGGGGAGGGCTCACACATGTCCTCTCTTGTTCCCAGGAAAGACAATTGCCTTAATCTTGATGATGAGATTATGCTCCTGTGCTGACCTATTATCGTTTTTGACTGAAATTATCACTGTGATCCCCAATCTACATCTATTCACACAGAAGTGTATAAAGGTCAGGCCACATTCTCGGCATCTCACATTGAGATGGTTGGAGATACGTCCCACTACCTTCTCCTATGATTGCAGACAGAATCCTAAACTTCAAATGGTCACAAAATGAAAGGCCTCAGATTTTCTTTTTTTTTTTATGACGCACTCTATGGGACAGATATATTCCTTCTAACCATGATGGATATTCTGAATTACAATAAACATTGCATGGATGTAGGTTTGTATAAATTCACTGTGACTAATATATTTAGCTGCTGCCCTAATGTTTTGAATGGAGATTTGCCAATTTAGATAACCTGGATGTTTGGTTGGTTTCATATAAATCTTCACGGGTAGAACAGCATTGAACCTGTTCCAAAAATCTGTCCTTGATCCATGGTCACACTCATCTCCCAGATCAGCTCCTTCAGCACATCTCCCTACCTGGAAGAAGAGGACTCTGGGCTTGGTGAGGGGAGGCCCCAGGAAGAGAACTGAGTTCTCAGAGGGAACAGCCAGCATCCTCCTCTCAGGGTGAGCCCCAAAGACTGGGACCTCCCTCATCCCTTTTCACCTCTCCATACAAAGGCACCACCCACATGCAAATCTTCACTTAGGCACCCACAGGAAACCACCACACAGCTCCTTAAATTCAGCGTCCAGCTCACATGGGAAATGCTCTCTGAGAGTCACGGACATCCTGTGCAAGAACATGAAGCACCTGTGGTTCTTCCTCCTCCTGGTGGCAGCTCCCAGATGTGAGTGTCTCGGGGATGCAGATATGACGACATGGGAGGCTGTCTCTATTTCCAGGGCTCACTGTGGGTCTCTCTGTTCACAGGGGTCCTGTCCCAGGTACAGCTGCAGGAGTCGGGCCCAGGAGTGGTGAAGCCTTCGGAGACCCTATCCCTCACGTGCGCTGTCTCTGGTGCCTCCATCAGCAGTGGTTACTACTACTGGAGCTGGATCCGTCAGCCCCCAGGGAAGGGGCTGGAGTGGATTGGGGGTATCTATAGTAATAGTGGGAGCACCAACTACAACCCCTCCCTCAAGAGTCGAGTCACCATTTCAAAAGACACGTCCAAGAACCAGTTCTCCCTGAAGCTGAGCTCTGTGACCGCCGCGGACACGGCCGTGTATTACTGTGCGAGAGACACAGTGAGGGGAGGTGAGTGTGAGCCCAGACACAAACCTCCCTGCAGGGAGGCGGAGGCGGCGGGCGCAGGTGCCGCTCAGGACCAGCAGGGGGCGCGCGGGGCCCACAGAGCAGGAGGCCGGGTCAGGAGCAGGTGCAGGGAGGGCGGGGCTTGCTCATCTGCTCAGTGCTCTCCCTCCTCACCAGCACCTCAGCTGTCCCCAGGGCTCCTCTTTCTTTGATATCTGTGGTTCTGCTTCCTCACATTCTTCTGCCAGAAAAGAAAGGAGGAAGGCACATTTTCCTCTTACAATTGAGGTTTCACCGATTACTAGGAACTTTCCTACAAGTTCCTGCATGGCCCATTATTCCTTAGTGATTAAAAATATATATATTCTAATGCTTCTCACCATCTCTTGGTTTGTGTCATCAATTGAATTGTGCCCTCTTTGAAATTCATATGCTGAAACCTTAAATTCAATGAATCTATATCGGAATTTTAATGATACAATTAAGGTTGAATGTGGTCAGAAGTGTGAGAACCTAATGCAATAGACGTGCTGTCTTTATAAGAAGAGGAAGAGACACCAGAGACCTCTCACTTTTCACGTGCACGCAAAGAAGAGGCCATGTGGAGACGCAGTGTATTAGATGGTGCCCCAGTGTAAGCCAGGAAGAAGCCACAAAAGAACCAACCCTGCCAGCACCTTGATCTTCAACATTCATACTTCAGAATTGTAAGAAAATCAATATTTGTTGTTTAAGCCACCCACTCCGTGTTGTCTTCTTAGGAAGACCCAGACAGACTAATACCACATAACTCATAACTCTGTTAGCGCTGTCCCCTGGATGGAGAATCAGCCCCCTGAAGCTGGGCACATCTCTCAGATTTCTACATAAAGTAGGCAAAAAATAGTAGCTGTGATATAAACACTTGTCATGTCCCTGTTGACCAATTTCTGGGCAAAGTGTTTTAATGAAGCCCTTGGGGCTTTGTCACAAAAGTTGTCTTTTATCTTTTCTTATGACCTAACTAATGGACAATGGGTACCAGCCGGATGGAGACGGACCACTGACCATCTTCTGTTGTCTCCTTAGTATGCCACAGAAAACCACACCAACATTACTCAATGTCTTCAACTTTCTAAATTTGCACTGAATCTATTGCTAAATGAGGAGCTACATGAGGTCTGAGTTTTGTTCCCTTCTTCCCAGTCTTCCTCAATTACCAAGGGAAGAAGAGACTTTCAATGAAATTTGGCTGTCAATGCCCCCAATGCACATCACTTTTTAAGGTCCAGGAACTTTATTTGGGGGATAGTGAAATACACTTTTAAATGGAAAGCCCTAAAGCACATACAACAGCTGAAGGAATGGCCACTGTGCACCTTAAGGCGGACGAGGCAGATGGTAGGGTACCTTCCTCCAAGATGGCCCTGGGTAAGTGATGTTTGGATGCATCATGCATATGGAAGTAAGGACCGACTGAAGTAGAAACAAGGGCCACATCCATTAGGAAAACAAGAACAGAACAGATGGGCATCCGTGAAGACAGGTAATTAAATTTGTTGAGTTTAAGATGAAATTTTTTTCCGAAGTTTTTAATGTTCTTCGCTAAATATGAATCTTTTCAACAAACTGAGAATTAGAAGGAGAATGGAGTTAGAAGATGAGAGAGAAAAAAAGTCCTGAGAGAGCAGAAAGAAAATTCACACAAAACTGTCACATGGCAGAGGCCAGAATGGAGCTGATGCAGCTATGTCATTATTCTGCAGACCTATTGAGACCCTGTGGTGTTTAAGGCAGGCCCAGTGTTGAAGAATTCCTGTAGTTTTTGCTTCTCTGAGAAAGGTCTTACCTATCCTTTATTTTACAAAAAGATTTACATGGTAATGTTTCTTGGTTGACAGAGTTGTGTTTGTTTTTCAGTTTTTTTCCCCGAGCAATTTGAATACAGTCATGGGCCACCTAAAAACGTTTCAGTCAACAATAGACCACATATATGTTTGTGGCCACATAACATTGTAATACCATATTTTCATTAAGGATGTTCCATATTTAGATGTGTTTAGATAGAGAGATACTTACCACGGGGTTTCAGTTCCCTGCAGTGTTTGGTGCAGTAACATGCTGTACAGGTTACTTGTCTGGAAACATTGTGCTATTCCACATAGTTTTTGTGTAGTAGGATATTCCTTGTAGGTTTGTGTAAGTTCTCCCTATGATGCTTGCACAATGATGACATTGACTAGAAATACATTTCTCAGAAATAATCTCTATCAATAAACCAAACATTATCAAATATAATTCCTCTCCATTCCGAACTGAAAATCTTCTGCTGAGAAATCTGCTAAATCTGTTCTTTTACTTTCTGTTTTCGAAAACCTTTCCTTTAGCAATGTGGTTTCAAGCTATCTCTGATTTTTCCCATTTGATTTACCTTATTTAAAATGTATAGAGCTTCATGGATGTGGACGAATATTTGCTTCTCCAGATTTAGAAAGTTGCTATGCTATTACTTCTTTAAAAACCATTCTGCCTCTCTTGCTCTGTCTCTCTTTCTCTGTCTCTCTGTCTCTCTCTGTCTCTCTCTCACCTGCTTCCTTCACTACCCCTTTTGTCTTATCTTTGCATAACTCCTCAACGCATAATTTCATTTTCACTGTGCTTCCTGACTCATAAGTCTTTAACTCTTTTTTATTTCTTTCATTTAAGTTTTTCTTCTCTGTCTCTACTATTTCAAATGATCTTTCTTTGAGTTTACTGTTTCTTCTATTACTTGATCTAGTCAGGTCCAAAATCCTCATAAAAATTTTGTCTGACTTATTGTATTCTTCAGCATCAATAGTTTTGTTTAGTCATCTTTTAAATGTTTTATCTCTATTAAAATTCTCATATTGTTCTTGCGTGATGCCACTAGCTCATTGAACATATTTCTAACATTTACTTTAAATTTTCTTCCAGGTAATCCATATGCTTCCTTTTTATTGATATCAGTTTCTAGATCTTTATGTTGTTCTTCTATTTGGACCATGTTCCCCTCCTCCTTCATTTTCCTTGACTGTCTTTGCTGCTACCTGTTCATTATAACAAAAGCCACCATACACTCTTCAAAGACGAGGCTTATAGAGATCATCCTCACAAATCAGTCCAGGCAGTAATTTGGGTCTCTCAAAACTTCGTAGTATTCAAACTTCTGTCTCTGTTCTTAATGGTCCCTGGGTTTTAGAGGATGATAGATTCTGCCAGAAATCACAGGTAGGGGAGGTAGAAACTATTTACTCAAGCAGCCCCTTGAAAATTTGAACCACTGGACAAAGTTTCATTATTATTGTATGATTCATCAAAATAATGTTAGTTCAAGCTTCTGTCAACCAGTCACTAAACATTGAAATTTTATCATTTCTTACTTGAATCTGGGATTTGTTCTTTGAGTATTTAGGTAAAATTACAAACTAATTTAAATCTTCCTATTTGGCAAACTGATCTATTGCTGAATTTCTATTTTCTGTTTTTCCTCTGTGCATTTAAATCTAAATCTGTATTAGACATGCATCCAGAATGTGGAAAAGTGTCTTAAAGTTCTTTAATTTATTTAATTTAATGGGGTTTCCAGAAGATGTGAAAATTTCCTTTGTGTATCAAACACTTGACTATCGGTCAATAGTTTTCTCTTTAATTTTTCTCTCTCCTCTCACATTATCTATAATAAGCCGGGAGAAATGAAGACACACCATCGACAGTTTGCTTAGACATCCCACCACCTAAAATTCTAACTGTCGCTTACTAATTCTAACTTCATCCAATGTAACATAACTAAGATATAAATTCTATAACAAGGTACACAGAGTTTCCAGTTCTAATACCACGTTTGTGACAGAAACAAAGCAGGTGTGCTCTCTGCGAGGTGGTCATCTGAGGTCTGAGACGAGGGGTCACACAGGTGTTTTTATGATATTTAAGGGATCGGGCAACAACAGTGATAAGAATTCTGCTCATCACTGGCTCTTACCAGAAAGTTTACAGGTAAAGTTACTGCTGTTATTTGATTTTAACACCTATTTAGAATGAAACTCAGAGGAAGAGGTCACATCCTAGGTCACACAGTGAGGAGGAATGGAGCTGTGCTCTGCTCTCCACACTACGCACAAGATCCCAGGCACGAGCCCAGGTTCCACTGACACGTGACATCTGGAGGGCAGTTCTCAGGGGATGGTCTTAGCACACCTGCTTCCTGGGGCAGGGTGCTTCCTTCTCTCAGTTGTGCACTTGCTCCTTCTGCCAGCTCTGAAGTGACCAGTTGCATTGCCATGAATTATTCATATTCTCTCCCTTACTATGGCAAAAAGTGTATTTATTAAATTTTCAATTCATTCTCTCTGAGGCACACTGCTTTAGCAGAAAGGAATAAATCACATTCCTTCACCTTCCCCACAGCCCAAGATTCCTGAAGACAGAGCCGATGTGATGTACTCATAGGTGGATTTCTCCTCCACCTATGAGGAGGTGGCCTTGGTCTTCAAGTTTCAGCAATGCTGGGAAGTCAAGGACACCTCCGTCTCCTCCTCACTGCTCTGTAGCTCACCTGAGAACAGCTTTCTCATTGGAATATCATCTGTTTAAGGAATACCAGTTGCTGCTTTAGGATTTGGGGCCTGAGTGCAACTACTGGATCCAGCCCAGGACTGGAGATACTTTCCAGAACACAACTTCACCTGAGACATGTCCAGTCACACTGTTTTACTTGCACAATTTCAGCTTCCTTAGAAGATAATTAAAATTGCTGAGACTTTTTCATAAACGTTGTGCCATGTCCTTTTTCTGTTTCCTTGCCTGTTCATGTACGTCAGACCAGGTACCACTTGTATGTAATGAGATCGGAATTCTGCCTCCAGTAACACATCTGAGGTGATGCTTGATTGTACTTTTGGTTTAGGCTCCATAATGTAGATTATAAAATTCATCAACCTCACTTTTATGTCAAAAGAAATCTGCATAATCTGAATATCAACACTTTTTGGAATCTATTAAATAACTGAAGTAGCAAGAAATCTTACCCACTCCAAAAACTGGATAGACGGACATGCCTAAAATGGCAGTTGACACTTGCTTAACTGGAGCAGAGGTTGCAGAAGCCGCAAGATAAGAGGGCACTACATGACAAGCACTATAGACATCTGAAAGCCAGATATGAACGTGGTAAATGCAACAGTTCCAGAGGGTCTTTCACTTCTAAAGTTTCTCTACTTTCTCTCCAGAAACCTCAGGATTCTAAAAAGTAAAATCCACATGCATTTCCTGTGGATCAGAATTGCAGATGATTAATTACTGAGAAACATACCAGGAGCCTGCTTCAGGAGCATCTACAGGGAAGGACTTTTCCACAACCTTATC